AAGTCATCATGACAGTTGTAACTGGGTTTCAGTCATCTTTTAAACCTTTAACATGTCACGGTACCTTCAGTGAAAAAGGCCCTGGAATTAGCAGATGACACCATATTTCACATACACTCACAGCTTTTATTCTTCACCATCTGCTGCTTCCTGATGTGACGAGACATCTCTGCTTGTGTCCGACCACTGTCATTTTGAATGTATATAACGGTCGGGAAGCATCTTCATTCTTTTTTGGCACAATGGTTTTGCTGCCTTTTCTCACTTTCTGGCTAGTTCCAGCTTTAGGTGAAAAGCAGCAAAGCCTCATGAGCCAGTGTCAGGCTGTATGTACGCCTGATGGAGCACAAACCTGGCCTGTGCCCGAGAGCTTGGCATCCGAAGCAGCTGAATTTTTTTTCCTCTTATTAAACGAAGCAGACATTTGAATGTTCAAGTTGTTGGACAAAACCTGTCCTGCGTGTTGTTTTTATGAAGAATGCTCAAAGACAAATCTGTCTTTTGAGATATTTATTACAATATTCAAGAAAAGCAATACAGAGCTCTGGATTTCGTGCCTATCCACTCTACAGAAGTATGGAACCGGAACCATGAGTTTCCTCTTCACAAGAGAATTTATAGTACAGTCATGCAAATGATCTGACGTCATCTGTGCTGTCCTTCATTCTCGTTCCTTGGTTGGTTGGTTTGTTGACCTCGTTCTGACCCCTCATTTGGTGATCTTGTCGCCAGGCAGATTTTGATCTGTGACATCCTGACCTTTCAATAGACAGTTTTAAAGGAAGCACCTCGAGCGTTGCTAGGCGACCTGGTCTAGTTCCTGTTTTGTGTGATTTCCTGTCTACTCTTACAGCCTTACACACATCTCCTATATTAAAGACAAGTGAACTGGTTAAAACAAGGGTAAATCATACAATATGATACTAAAATAAACATGTAGATATATTTGCTAGTGCAGATTATAATGCCAATGATAGAAGGCCAAGCATTTCATGTAATGTTGATAAATGTTGATAATCTAAAGCCAAGACAATAAGACCTTACACCCACACACAATTCTCGTGCAGACAGTTTAGTCATCTCAGGTGTATCTGCACGACTTCCTGTTGTTCTGAGTCTCTGCACTTAGACACACAGCATTTCATGTCCACAGGTCAAGTCTTTACAAAGGTCAAACATATTAAACAATTATTTGAACAGTTTTGCAAATACATAACATAGCACTATATCATTTTATCAAGAATTTCTTTCTACAAAGTCCAGCCTAAAGTTTGACCTACGTGTCTGAACCTGACCCGGACTTGAACATAATTTCCAGGTATGTCTGAACCCGGCCCAAACCCCTGGGCGCCGTTGGGCTCGGTTTGGGTATCCACACTTTATCTGATCAGCAGTTTTCAAAAATGAATATATCTGTTGACGCAGCCTGGGTTGCCTCAAAATAGTCACTGATATTTTCCCTTCAACTCTTTCCTGGTAGCTCGCTTTTTAAAATGCAGCAATTCAGGCTACATCAGGCTTGACAGGTCTCTTCAGAGCGTTGTAATATATCTCACAATGAATCTTGTAATGATTTATGAGCATTAAAGAGCCATGTGTGGCCGAGCTCTATCTCACTGAAAAGATTCTTGGCTACTCTCGTCTCCTTAACTGCAGGAGCTCTGAGCCACAGGAGTCGCGGTAGCCATTACATCTCTGTCAGCCTGGTCCTCCCCTCCCTTTGGCGTTCATAGTCACAGGCCTTTCATTTGCGTTGTGTGGTTCAGCCAAAGGCCTCTTTCTCTTGTACGCTGTGTGTGTGTGTGTGTGTGTGATAGCATGTCATACAAACAGCATGTAAGAGCAGAGATGGCTCAGCCGGTGTGTTCTGTTCCAGAGGACGGCATTCAGACCCACAACAGTGGTTCTGTCATGCAAAGTGGTGAAATATGAATCATCTCAGTCAATAAGAGATTGGAGACAGACAGGGGAGGGAGGGTGGGGAGGAGAGGCAGAGGGATACTGATGATAACCCCACTGAGTATATTCTGCTCAGAGCTCTTTATTTATTTATTTATTCATTTGTCTATTTATTTAACTCCCTAATGGATCAGTCTCTTTATAAATATTGGCAGGAGAAAATCGAGAATATTAAAAAATGGGAGCTCAATCATCTGTATCTGCTGCAAACAGAATAAGAGAGAGAGAAAGGGAGGCGGCATGAGAGAGTGCATGCACTGCAAAGTATCTGTTACATCGCGCAACATGACAGAACGCCAAAAAGCATCAGAGCAGCATCCATTTAAATCTGACCCAATCAAATTACTCTCAACCAAAAAGAAAGATCCAAATATGACACAGCAAACATATTATGAATAGCATCTAGTGTATTTCTCCACAATATTTGTGGCCTTCACAGTCCTCAGACCTCAACCCAGCTGAACACCTATGGGAGGTGTTGGAGCGACGTGTTGCCAGGGCATACGTTTCTACTCAAAGCCACGTTAAAAGAGCAAAGCTCTTGGCCGATTGTCTACCATAGCAACATTGATTAAGCAGGCATGGTGCAGTCAGTGTGGTAAATGGACCTCGGAGAACTATTTGTGCATGAAGTCCAGAAATCCACTACCATTTAAATAAAGGTAAACTTTATTAGCATTTTGGGAGAGTAACATTTCTGTTGGCTACAAACTACTGCACAGTATGTATCTACACACCCTCAACCAGAGAGATGATAAAACACTCCTGTGTTCTCCTTTGTAACGTGCACACTATGCTTTGTGAAGTGGGAGTCACAGACCTATTGATCACAGCTGACCTGCTGATCTCTGTAGCTCTGAGTCGATCGTGAAGCATTTCAGGTGAAAGGTGATTCATTAAATTTCACCGATTGGAATTGAATGCTGTAGTCTATGGTCGGCCATCTTTGTCAATGCTCATTGGCGTCCTGTCCTCACAGGGGTGGAATGAGCTCCCCACTGAGGTGAGGACAGCAGAGACACCAGATAAAAGCCTACCTGCCATGCTAGCACTTAGTAACAGCTCATTTCCTTACCGGACCCGAAGCAGTGCTCTTTCTTGTTAGTTTGGAGGGGATACGCTTGTGAGGGTTTTTAGTGACCTCGGGGTCTTGTTCCTCTTAGTGAATGTACTTGCATTGGAAAAACAGAGGAATGACTGTTCTGTACCAACCCTGTACCTTCTGTCAGCCTATTTCTGCAGATTTTAATCAATTGACCAACCGTTTCGGTTTTTTTTAGTACACATTGACATTTATGTCTGACAACAGTCTTTGGTGTTGGGCTCCAGGTTTAGCGTCAGCTGCTGTTGTTCACTATGACTTGGTTTACACAACCAAATAAAGTCGTTTTCAGTTGTTTCAGGGAAACGTACTACACTATGGTTTCCTACTGCAGACTGGGCTAGCTGGTTCGCACACCTCCATGTGTCTTTAATGCTGTTTACTGAGTTCTTTCAGCTGGAAAAACTATTCGTGCTACAGTATATGTGTGTCAACAAAATCCGATTGTGGTTGCTCAGCCCTGAACAAAATGTCGTCCTGTTGCCTGAGAGTTGCTCCTCTTTGGCAGTCATTCACATTTGAACTTGCACACTCTCTGCTGGTTCAGTGTCTTTTCTTTGTTAAAATAGACTATTTTAAGAAATGCGGTGTTTGGACTGTTGCTTTTTATTTTTCCTAAGTGGTAGATCTTGGCTTTCAGTGTGTGAACATCAAATATGATCTTTGCTTGGGTTTGTTGTCAGCTTGTGATTATTTTTGTTTGTTTTGTCTTGGTGATAATCAGTAATATTTAATTTTTTTGTAAAATTGTCTTTCCTGCAAATCGAGAGTGGCAGAAAAGATGACAGAAAGATGGAGATTACAAGCTGATAAATCCTAGGTTTTCATTAAATGAAGCGGCTCTAACTTGCCCATCTCTCTCTCTCTCTTGCTGCTTCTCTATCACTCTATAACTCATCTCCCCCCTCAGTTTTACTTTTGAAGACGTTGCCATGGTTACTCAAAGTTTTCTCGTAACAGGCGGCAAAAAGGCTGAATGTTTTCACCGATGGAAAATCATACACACACACACTGGAGAGAGCTTTTGTGCTTATTAGGGCTCGACTTTAAACCATTAGTACACACTCAGTATCAGACAGGTACACACGTCTTTTTCCAGTCTCTGCTTGAATGGGTCCTTTTATCAGTCTGTCTCTACTTGAGCCTGAACAGATGTATCTATCTACCTAGTCTAGTTTCATCCTAAATAGCTGCAGCATTTTCATTTTTTGTGAAGCTGGTAATAAATACCAGCTTCACAAAAAAAAAAAGGAACCGCCACCTTATTGTGGTGGAGTTTGAGTACCCGAGTGATCCTAGGAGCTATGTTGTCGGGGGCTATATGTCCCTGGTAGGGTCTCCCAAGGCAAACAGGTCCTGGGTGACGGGTCAGACTAAGAGTGGTTCAAAAGCCCTTTATGAATAGATTAAAATCAAGGACCGTGACGTCGCCCGGCATGGCGCAGCCG